TGTTTTTGAGACAGGGTCTCGCTGTGTTGCCCAGGCTGGTCAGGGGTTCCTGGCTCAAGGGGTCCTGCTGCCTCATCCTCCTGAGTAACTGGGAATGCCGGTGCACGCGACCGCAGCCAGCGCCTTGCCTGTGATTTGCTGCGCCTGCTGTAGCACAAACAGCAGTCAGTAGAGGTGGAACTCCTGGCCGAGTCACTAACGTGTAGCAAGAAGTCAGAGGACAGCCAGGACCTGGCTGCTTCTCTGTGCTGCTGCGGGGACCCGGCAGATGCTGGAGGAGAAGGGCCGTGTGACCAGCAAGTGCCGCACAAGCCTGGGATGTGGCCCTGCGTGGGGCTTATAAAACACACTGTAGGCGCCCGCCCTAAAGTCCCCTACAGTAAGTGCCCAGCGGCCCCGGCTGGGTCAGCCCTCTTAGAAAAACTGCTCCTATCTTCATGACCAGAACTTTCCTAAAAACCAAACGATCCAGGGATTCTGAAGAGCTGTCAGATTAAAAAACGAACCTCTCTTCTTAATGTTTACATTTTTTCTTTCAAATAGACGGTGTATGCTTTACCAACCATTGCGTTTGCCTTTGTCTGCCACCCGTCAGTCCTGCCAATCTACAGTGAGCTGAAAGAGTAAGACGCATGATTTTTATATCTTAACTATGTTAAGCCTCCTACCATAGGCAAGTTCTGAATTAAAATAAAGATGTGTAAAATGAGCCTGCATGGATTCATCACCCATCTTGTTTACTGACATTCTGCCTGTCTGGAGTAAGTTCAGCAGAAAAATCAGAAACCCCCAGTACGTTTGGCCATAGATCCAGAAAGTGTCCAACCACGTAGGTTGTTTAGTTAATTTGATTTTTCAGATACTGTACTGTATCAGGAGTGTTCAAGCATTTGTGTTGCTTTTTTTTAACTTAGGCTTATTTTGCAAGTGGATGGTAATCTTTAGGTTGATCTGTAGGCTGCAGAATGCATTGTCTGATTTGCTTATTCGTTTGCGTGGAAAAGACTGGAAAGTCAGATGATAAGAAGTAAAAACTAGAAAAAAATGTTCACCTCGAATCATTAAGATGGATTCATGTTTGCTCGTCAGTGTAGAGAGGACCGAAGGCCTGCTTGCACCACACTTAATTCTGTATACATAGTCACGATGACATGATCTTAAGCTCAGAAAGCTGAGCTATTTACTTGCATTTTGAGATTTTAAACAAGTTGGTGTCATTTAGCATTGAATTCCTTCTTCTTTCATATATAATTGGTACCTAGCTAAATTTTGAGATAACAGATATCAATGCCAGTCCTCCTTGATGAGCTGGGCTTTGCATCTCATGTTGAATAGGTCTTAGCATCTCATGTATCTAACATTCCAGCTCGTAGCTTCTCCTTATATTTCCGTATGCCCTTGACATCACAGGTTCTGATTATCCCTGTCCATTATGGAGTACAGCTCTTCTGGATTAATTAATTAAGTGACCCAGTAAATAAAATTAAAGGTCATTCCAACCGCAGAGTAAAATCGACCTGGGGCTAGTTGTGAGCTCTTGGGCACTGACAGCTCTGGAGACACGGACTTAGGATGTGCCCTGGGGCTATTTGCTGGGAAGAAAACCCAAAGAACAACGTTAGGGGCTAGCTCCTGAGGTCAGGTTCCCACTCTGCCGCTGTTGTGGGCATGGGAGGAGAGCACTTGCGTTGTTTCTGCCTTTTTTCCTGTGCATGGCCAGTGTCGCGATAACAGGGAAACACAAACATTAAAAGTACTGTCAGCCCTTAGATGAGAACTTGCTACTCTTTTAAAGCCACAGGGAAGAGCACTCGAGGGAGTGCAGTTCATGGTATCCGCCCCACAATACTCATTTAGTACTAAGGAAGTTACGGCAACCATCCTCATTGCTGGGAGTGACTTTGAGCTCCCCAAACGTGACAAAGGGAAGGTTAAGGTGGTATACTCTTCAGTGTTAATCTGGGGGTTTCAATTTAGTCACGCTGTTTTTAATATTTGAAATTCCTTTATTTTTGTTTTTAGTCGATCCCAGAAAAAAATGCAGATGGTTTCAAATATCTCCTTTTTTGCCATGTTTGTTATGTACTTCTTGACGGCCATTTTTGGCTACTTGACGTTCTATGGTAAGTAACTTCTGCGGTGCACACATGCAGGTATTGGTAAATATGTTCGTGAAAGTCAGTATCACAGTAACCATTAACACTGAGGTCCAGGAGAGCAACAAAGCTAGCTGTTGGTTTTTTTGTTTGTTTCTTAATAAAGGATGATTCCTTTTATATATTCATGCAGACTGCAAAATAAAATAATTACCAAAACAGTATACTGTTTGTTTTTCTCCTGGTAGTATCCTTAAAAGAAACCACATTTTTTAAGCATGCCATCTTAGGAAGGTTTAAACTACATCAGCAGAAGCTTTCCTAATTGACATTGCAAACTGGGTCAGATTCCATTAATAGAAAAGAGCGACAGAGACAGATGTTGAAAGTGAGAAAGAAAAGGGTGCTACACTCATGACGCTTGTGTTAATGAAAAATAAAACACCTCATTGGTCACCGGAAGTTGAAGCCTTACAGAGACTGAAAGGAAAGACCTCAAAAGTTAAAAGAAAGAAAACCTGAGTGAAAAAATAAGTTTCATGTGTAACTGTTATTGACCCTATTTCGGTAGTTGACAATTTTTTGCGACTTCTCATACTCTCTTATTCAAATGATCCTGCAGCTTTATTTAACATCTTGCTTTTTTTTTTTTGTCTTTTTGAGACAGGGTCTCACTGTGCAGTTCAGGCTGGCCATGAGCTTACTTTGTAACTCAGGCTGGTCTCCAACTCGCAACGATCCTCCTGCCTCAGCCTCCTGAGTGCTGGGATTACAGGTGTGCGCCACCACACCCAGCTATTTATCTTTCATTAGCGTTATAATTTGGGACTTAATTTAAATAAATGTATTTCATAGTCTCCTCTATTAAATAATATTTCTTTGGGGCATTTTCTTTATACGCAGAAATGTCTCAAAATTTAATTACATTTAAAGATTAATTCAGCTGGGGGAGAAAGGCCACTCTGTACAACTGTATTATTATTTTATAAGCAGTAGTGTTATCTGATGAGTCCATGGCTACATTTAGCTTTTGACTGAAGACGATGTCTCTGAGCTTCCCGCAGAGCCTCAGGGCTGGGATGGGTAAAAGGAAGGTGCAAGATGGAGCTGGTGGTGAGAACAATGCCCTTGTTGAAGCTGATTTCTCTTTGTGAATCCATTTTTCCACATAAAACAGGATACCGAACACTTTTATATTCTTACGTGAAGGAAAAGGGCTCAGCCGTTTCTAAGTGGTTATGAATTTTGAATTAAGAAATTAGAACTGACGAGACTTTTATTATCAACTTTGGTCCTTGTTCAGAAACTGTGGCTCAGAAGCCTAGAACCTTGAGGCTGATGCGGTGAGAAGCCCTGGAAAGGACCCATAAGGGGAGATTATTTCTTTTCCAGAGAATGAGCATTTTTGTGTTCCTTTGAGACTACCATTCCAGTGCTGGTAGTCTTTGAAGTAACACTTTTTGAAGTTCTAAATTGAGAAAAATTCAAAATAGTGCCTACACAAAATGCTTTTTTGTGACGGAAGCATCCACAGAACAGAATTCTTTCTGCTGGTGGTGAAGTTAGGTTAGTGGCTCTTCCATGTGGCCACTGAAGTTTGGGTTTCAAAGGAAGAATCCGAAAGGAGGAGCTGGTGTGGCCCAGTCCCTGTGGTGAGACTGTGACTGCACGGTGTGGACTGACAAGCAGCCTCCGTGGGGAAAGTCTAGACTGGGAGGGGGCTGTGTTTCAGCGGTGTGTGTTATTTAGTATAAATGAAACATTCCTCTTAGCTAAAGTTACTGCACGCACAGTGGAGCAGGTCTCCCACCCCCGGGATTTTTCTTTCAACTTCAAAAATTGTTTTAGTAGATACTTCCAGACATCCCTTCCTGGCCGTATGGTTTGCCAATGCTAGACTCTGCAGAAAAACAGTCAGCAGCGCACTCTGTCTCATTTGAAAACCTCTTTCTCCCTTGTTCTAGAAAAAGTGTATTCAGATCTCCTTCACAAGTACCAGAGTAAAGACGACATCCTCATCCTGACAGTGCGGCTGGCTGTCATTGTTGCTGTCATCCTCACAGTGCCGGTGTTATTTTTCACAGTGAGTAAAAGCTTCGGTGCAACCTGAGAAAAGCTGGGGTCTCGCCTTTCCTTCTGCCTTCAGCAGTGTGCTCCAGAGAAAGCTGCTCGCAGGTGACTTTCCTGGTCATCTGCACTGCCTCAGGGAAAGAGCCTGAGATGCCACTCTCTTGGGACAGCACACGGGATCAGTGGGTTAGTGTTGCCTCCATGGACGGAATCCGAGTCCTGATGAATTGCCCCACTGTGAGAAGTAGGGTGATCAAAACATACGGTGATGTATTTTTTAAATTACAGTAAAAGACACAGTGCCCTAATCTTCCTCAAAATGCTCCCCATCATTCTTGCCACTTTCTGAAGCAGTTCAGGAAGTCCTCCTTGGTGAATGTCTTTAGTTGTGATGTCAGGATCACATTAATGTCCTGAGTCCATTCAAAGCTTTTACCTGTCACAGTCATTTTGACCTTAGGGAAGGGCTAGAAGTTTCATGGTGCCAGATCCAGTAACTGGGCAGGGGGATGAGGACACAGCATGTTTTTACAAGCCCCCCTTTCTGTTGAATGACATTCAGTGGCAGCATTCACCACACCATTTGTCACAGCTCATGAAGACACAAAAACTGCTTCAGAGGCAACCCACTCAGGTCCCCTTCTGTCCCTCTCAGACAGAACTATTCTTTCCCCCAATGAATATATTCTGCTCTTAACCTCCCTTGTTCCTAAAATTCACTCTTCAATTTTAGAGGACATGAACTTGTCCCAGATACCTAGCAGGTTAGGAGTTTTTTCTCCTATATCATTTGAAGGTCTCCCACCAAGATCATTGGATGGAGGTAGGAGTTTGCTTTTGTTTCATAGACTGGATTGGAACTCATTTAGGTAACCAATTTTTATGCTTCAAATTTTGATGTATTTTTGCCCATTGCTTATAATTACTTGTGCTTTGTCTCTTATATAGTTTTGTTAAAATGCTGATAAACCTACGTTAAAATATGAGATGGTTATAAGGTTATTGTTAGGCTAGACCCCAAGGAGTGACCGAGACCACTAGGATGGGCAAGATTGAAGCAAACAGCGACATCTTTATTTTCAACCGTGTGTGGTCAGGCCAAGGGAAAAAACGCTGTTGGCCATGAACAAAGGGAGAGAAAAAGCTTTATAGAGCAGTTTAAGCATGGGAGGGGGTCATTGGTGGGTCTTGGGGAAGCACCTGGCAGGAAGTGCAGGATGACAGTGACATTTTGCTGACTTACAGCTTGGCATTCTATAGATTTACAGGGTTTCCTGTAAGCCTGAGAACCAGGTCTGGGAACCTACCTGATAAACAGGGTTTGTTTTAGTCTCTTGAGCTGAGTAAGAGGTTTCCTGCTTCTACAGCAGTGAATCTGTGTGGTTTTTTTCCCTTCAGGTTGCGAGGGGTCCAATTGTGAGGGCCCTGTAGTTATGATATTTCTTTGTTTTTTTTGTTTTGTTTTGTTTTCCGGTACCGGGAATCAAACTCACAATGTTGCACTTGCCAGGCAGGTGCTGTGCCGCTGAGCTAAATCCCAAGCCCCTGATATTCCTTTAATTGGACATTTTATTCCGTTTCGTTCTTGTATATGTTACATTTGAACTAGTTACTAAATTTACTGGTGTTTCTTGTTTGACTTCTTTTAGACAGTAACGCTAGAGAGAGTAACATTAGAATGCCTCCTAGTGGACTTGAAACTTCTGTAAAATGGGTCTTTTTAAATCTAGCTCAGACTTAGAAAATATACATGCCTATATAATAAAACACAGGACTCCTTCCACCATTTAAAGGACATCAGGTCGGTAGCCGTTCTTAACACTTGGAGGACAGGTTTCACTGGGACAGACTGGCTCTGATCCTCCTCTACACTCTAGAGGAAATGTCAAGCCTGTTCTGCTTCAGTTTCCTTTCTCTGGCCTTACTCTTAATCTTTTCCTACCTCTTTGTACTTTCCTTTTAGAGGCACGTAAAATTAGGAAGAAAAGAACTGTAGACTGTTCCAACTAAATTAAGCCATATAAAATAAGCATTTGCTAATGCCGAAGACAGGGAAGTCACGTTAGAGGAGGAACACATACCCCTTCTCTGGGTCAGATGAGACAATGGAATTTTGCCCGTCCAGGAGAACACACATAAAAGCCATGTCCCAACTTAATGTTCTGGGCAGGTCTCCCTCAGGAGATGAACCTGAGACACAGAGAACCCACTTCTAGGTGACACCAGAAGGAGCTATCTCCAAATCCAGCACACTTATGGGACTAAAACACGTTTCGCCTAAGGGAGGATCTCTGACTGTTCCTCTTCTCCTCCTAGGTCTAATTATCATTTATATGTATAGGATAGTAAGTTGTGGACTTTAAAGCCTTTACTATAAATTTATAAAGTGCTCGGTAATCTTGTTTAGGCTTTTAACTATCCCTTATAAAACTTTGACAAACAATGGTTACTCTGCCAGCTAGTTAAACACTCTTAAAGGAGCTGCCACTCTTTAAAGCAGAGGGCAGGTTTCCCCAGCATCTCTTTGGTGAATCCCCATTGAAAGTAATGGCTGCATTGATAATTTCCTACCATTTTGTCTGTAATTTGCTAAGTCCTCCCTATTATTATGTTATCCTTCTTTTATTCTTTAAAA